ATGGCACTCACTCTAGCCTGGGCAACAAAGCAAGACTCTGTCTCAAAACAAAAAAATGTATATAGGATAATAACGTTAAAATATCATGCATTTTAAGAAGTGAAAACTAAAATTGAAAAGCACATAAGATGATGTGCTCCTGTAATAAAATGGACACAGCTCTGACTGCAGATGAGACTTCTTCATCTGACTCCCAAAGGGATCTCCAACCACTGGGACCTGGGGTGGAGAACGAAGCCCCTCCCCAAGTGTGGGCTCCACAGCTCATAACTGCTCACTCAAGGACAGACTGAAAGATTTAGTACCCGAGTCGGGGCCAGTGAAAGAGAAAAGTGGTGTCAAAGGCAGCTGAAAATGCCATGCACTACCAGAAGAGGGGCATAACAAGAGTCCCCAGAGGGACCCCAAGACCTGTGGCAGCATGCTCACTCAGGGAGACTGCTGTTGCCCCTGTCATCTGCGGTTCCTCACTGCAAACAGTGGCTCTGAGAGTTCTGTTCATCTACAGTCTGTGCCATTGCGCCAGGAGGGGCTGGGAGAGGTGGCCCAGTTACTTTCCGTATGTTAATCCTGGCAGGCTGAGCAGCAGCAGAAGGCAAACCCAGGGCAGAGAAGTGGACCAAAGGAAAGTCTGATTAATTGTTATGCTCTGACTTCCCAGAGCACCTCCTTCTTCTCTGACAGCTCCTAGTGCTTTCATAGACATGACTTCAATAGGCCCTTTGGGCAAGTCAGAGAGACAGTACCCCCAGTACACAAAGAAAGTTGATATTAAGTCCTCTTTAAAAGATTAGGAAAAGCATACATACCGACTTGCCTGAGGGGAGTTAGCAAAGAGATTCTAAACACTGTATTTCTCCTAGCTGTTCTGGCCAGTGGCATAGGCTACTTCTCAAAAATGATTAAATTTAGGAAAAAGTAAGTATCCCAAAAGTCTCAAAATTAGTATCTAGAATTTCAGACTAGAATAATAGTCCCGTCTCACCCACCTCTTAGATCAAGAGCCTAAGATGCCATAAATCATTTCTAAGAAAGCCAAAAAAGGAATAAAGAAGGCAGGGAAGAAGGAAGAAAGAAGGAAAGAAAAAAAAGCACATGCATTTTTGCCTAGATCAAAGAAGCACCAATGTTTATCTGAGATGGGATGCCAGGTGGTTCCACAGAGCCCATCTGTTCCAGACCAACCACAGCAGCATGACCTACACAGGATAAATCACTAGTCACTTCGTATCTCCTTCTCGTCCCTTAGAGAAAAGTACACGTTTCTACAAGAACTCTCATTTAGCACCTCCTGTGAGTCTACCACGTACTAGGCATTGTGTTGGGTCTGAGTACAGAATGTGCACAAAACTCCCATGTCTCCTGAGCCCCAGAAATGGAAGCACAGTGGTGGACACAGCTGTTCGTATAAAAATGTCAATACATACATAGACAAGTAAGTTCATACTTATGTACTGTGACCAAAAGAACAGCAGAATATAAGAGAAACTATCCAAAGGGACCCCTTGGCTTAGGTGGGTAGAAAGTGGTGTCCTGCCTCACACCGAGGGAGGGTGCCCAGTATAGAGCTCACTGCAGGGGCAGAAGGCAGCACAGGTGCCCAGGCCCCAGGTGAGAATGGATGTGGGCCTTCCAGTAACCAAAGGCCTTCATAGCTCCCAAACCCAATGCCTTCCTCAAGGCAGACTCTAAGAAAACATATGTTCATCACTGACTATAGATTGGACACACAAATAAAAAGAATAAGAAAAAAAAGCAAAGAAATGCTCGATTCAGCAAATCAAATATAAACCAACGACTATTTAACAAGCAAGGCAGTGACTTAAAATCTTGGCCCAAAGATCTTACGATATGGTTTGTAGAAGAAAAGATACCAGACCATTCCACCCTATCCCCCCAAAAAACAAAAAAGCTTGAGACATGAAAATATATATCCTGAGGCATGTCTGATTAAATGCTGAATGAAATGTTCAACTCATACAGTTCATTGGAGGGGAAATAATTCCAGGGTAAGGCAGTGAAAACGAGTTCCCCAGAGATGGTGGTGGGACTCCAAGTAGAAACTGAAGTCTGGGGAGAATTCATTCAGCTAAGCCACTTGGGGAGGATGCTGCAGGCACATAGAACAGTGTAAACAGAAATGTGCAAGCAAGAACAGCAAGGAGCATTCGGGAGGACTAACTATACCAGAACAGTTGAGCCCACCCTAAAACATACAGCAGTCCACCACAGTGCCAGCTCACTCCCTCCTCAAGGCCTTGCTTGGAAACAAGGAATATTCCCACAGGCCAAGGCCCCAGGATGGTCTTCTGGTGGGCACAGCTTGGAGGAGTGGGAGAGGGAAGCCAGTGAGACTGTCCCAAGACGAGAAGGAGGAACAGAGAGCTATGGATCTCATTCACTGGGATAAAAAATTAAATGCCAAAGAGTAGGGAGAAAAGAGGAAAAAAATCCAAGTTGTTATAGTATTATGCAACTGAAATTCCATGCATAAGCCAAGAAATTCAAAGGTCACAGTTCCCACAGCAACTGTAACCTGACCTGTCTGCGTATGTAGCCTTTGGCACTGCCAGCTGCGAAGCCCCCAAGAGCCCACATACTGCCACACAGACCTGCTGTCAGGCACCCGTGTGTACCAGGGGTGCCAGGCCCACTGTGCTCAGGCTCACCTGGGCTGCCCATAGTGTGACGGGCCCTCGGCCATGCTCTACAGTCCCCAATTCTTTGAGGCAGAGCTTCGCTGTGACCCGAAGCCTATTTACTGTGGAGTGGGGTGAGTTGCCCCACCTTAACCAACCAGGTGGGAGAAAGAGAGAGAAGGGAAGCATGTGCATGGGATGGAGAGGTTGCTGCCACCCTCTTGGCTCATGTCTTCAGGCATACCAATGCTTGCCAAGCCTCACCATATGGGAAAACAAGGTGGGGGGCGGGGATGGCAGAAGGAATATTGTGCTTCAAAGGGCACCATCATAAAAGTGAAAAGATTCATTTTCACTGTAGTTAGCTAAAAAGAAAGTAAAAATAAAAAAAATAAAATAAAATAAAATAAAAAAATAAAAAATAAATAAAAGTGAAAAGACAACCTGACAAATGAGAGAAGATTTTTGCAAATCATATCTGATAAGGATCTCCTTTCTGCAGAATATATAACTGAGCACATGTACCTTCCCAAGGGAGTCTAGGACACAGGCATGGCCATAGACCCTGCTTCCATCATGAGGCACAGATGGAGCAAGACACAGTCTACACACTGTGACACTGGAGGGTGCAGCAGGGAGTGCCACAGATGGCCACCTTCCAGCCTCATCCCCACCCTCAGGGGGCAGGTAAGAGCAGGCATCTTAGAAATAGGTGATCACCCTTGCTAAAAGACAAGCCCTCTAAGGTCCTCCTCCTAACTAATTAATTATGACAATAGAAAAGACTAAACTTGGCTGGGCGAGGTGGCTCACGCCTGTAATCCTAGCACTCTGGGAGGCCAAGACGGGTGGTATCATTTGAGCTCAGGAGTTCAACACCAGCCTGAGCAAGAGTGAGACTGCGGTCTCTACTAAAACAATAGAAAGAAATTAGCTGAACAACTAAAATATAAAGAAAAAAAATTAGCTGGGCATGGTGGAGCATGCCTGTGGTCCCAGCTCCGCAGAGGCTGAGGCAAAAGGATTGCTGGAGCCCAGGAGTTTGAGGTTGCTGTGAGCTAGACTGATGCCATGGCACTCTAGCCCAGGCAACCGAGTGAGACTCTGTCGCCAAAAAAAAAAAAAAAAAGAAAAAGACTAAACTCACCCAGAAAAAGGTTTATGTCCTGGAAATCTTACCTCCCGCTAGACCATGGCTTATGAGAGTAGCCAATACTACAGGTTCAAGGCAAAGAACAACTGTTACATTGGCTCCCAAGGTAAACAGTCAGGGCAAGTAACAAGGCAGCAAGAGGAATGCCCAGCTCCCGAGAGATGTATAAGGAAGACCAGCTCTATCAACAAGCGGCTGACTGAGCCCTAGCACGTCCCTCAACTGTGCTGACAAAACATGCCTTGCATGGCTGCTGTGAGAATTAAATGAGGCAATATACAACAGCACCTAAGTCACAGGACTCAACACACAGAAGGCACTCAATGAACGAGAATTATTAGTATTGCGGTTATTTTCAAACCTCGTGTTTTACAAAAAATACTGCTACCCAAACTGATTACTCACTTCATTTACAAAAGCTGTGTCCAAATTAATGTTTTGGTTGTTGCATAACAATAGTAGTAGCACCTAACATATAATGTGTGCCTACCACTGTGAGAAGCACTACTTTGCATGCTGTTCTTTCTAACTTTACACACAACACTGCATTTAATCCTCACAATAAACTCATGAGATAGGTACTATTATCCACATTTTATAGATGAAGAAACAGAAATGTGTTCATTTATTCAAGGTTATACAGTTCCTAAGTGGTAGAAGATGGAGCTGAACTCGAGCAGCCTGACTCTGGAGCCCCACACTGAAACCACAACATACCCATCTTCAAAGCATGGAAACATGTCCCCCAAGGAACTCAGCCGGCAAAGAAAAGGAGGCACAGTTCCCAAAAATAGTTCAAGAGTGGCTTCTTTAAAAGAACTGACAGTTTCCAGGTTGGCCTTGTGATCACAAAATCATAAGGAAATGGTTCTAATTTCTGCAGGAAAAAAAAAGCCAGAGCAAGCCAAGAAACCACCATCATGATCCTCCACTAGATCAGGGGCAGCTCCATTCAAAATGGGAACAGGACCATGCTTCAGTTCAAAATTATACTCACTGGAAACTCACCCAAGGATTCTGATGGCTCACGGTTAACACTTAATGAACAAGCCTGGGAATTTTAAAAACTGTCTTCTACCCTACTAGATTCACTTCTCATCCAATAAATTCCCACAACTTTCCTGTATTTGGAAAGACAGAACTTGTCAGATTCTCCACTTTTCCTTACCCAGGTTTCCTTTCCACTCCATGTTTTTTTTGTTTTTGGTTTTTAGAGAAGTGTCTTTATTGGCTGAGGAGGCTACTTGAGGGGGATGAAGCGCGAGGAGTGGGTGGCGCCGATGCCGGGCCGGCCGTGCTTCACCGGCTTGTAGGTGATGGAGAACTCCCCCAGGTAATGGCCCACCATCTCGGGCTTGATCTCCACCTGGTTGAAGGTCTTGCCATTGTAGACGCCTACCATCCTGCCCACCATCTCGGGCAGGATGATCATGTCTTGCCATTGTAGACGCCTACCATCCTGCCCACCATCTCGGGCAGGATGATCATGTCCCGCAGGTGTGTCTTCACCACCTCGGGCTTCTCCAGGGGCGGCGCCTCCTTCTTGGCCTTGCGCAGGCGCTTCAACAGCGAGTGCTGCTTGCAGCGCAGGCCCCGGTTCAGCCGCCGCCGCTGGCGCGCACTGTACAGTTGCATCAGCTGCTCATAGGACATATCCAGCAGCTGGTCCAGGTCCACGCCGCGGTAGGTGAACTTGCGGAAGGTCCGCTTCTTCTTCTGCTCCACTTCCGCCATCTTGCCGGATCTTCAGAAAAAGGCACTCCATGTTTTCATTCCCATGCTCCACTCCCAGCCCCCAGCTATACGATTTGTATTCAGATTACATGCAAAGAAAAAATGCAACAAATTCATTTACCCCAACTTAGAAATGGAAATACCTGATAAAGAGAACTAAAGGGGATACAGAACAAATGAGGCTCTGAAACAGCACATACGCAAGTCATCCGAAGTGTGGCTGCAAGCAGAGAACCCAGCTGTCCCACCTGTGAGTGAGCCACATGACCTTGCACAAGAGGCAGATCATCCTGAACACCTTCTTGAGCTTGTTCCCTCATCTCTGGGACACAGGATTTACTATTACAGAACCACCCCATCGCTCAAAGGAGGCAGCACATGAGGCAGCAACGTTATTAGGTAAGTTAAATGTTTTATTTCTTTTTAATCTTGTCTGAACAAAATGAGAATGTGAACTGCTAAAATATGTTGTAGGGATCAGGGTAGGAGGTAGTTTAAGTTTTTCGTTCTGGTAACTCATCCACATAACACAGATTCACTTCTTGTTATTAAATTCCATGTCTTATACTAGAGTAAATAAAGCTAAAAGTCTCATTAGATAACACAAGGAAGTTAAATTACAATAGAAACAACATTGTCCCATGTTCCTGGTATATGCTTAAATACAACCTCTATACACTTGTGTCCAACCTCCAGCTATTCCCAGAAGCCTGGCCCCCAATCAACGTGTTCAGTAGTTTTTGTTTTTGACATAGGGTTTTGCTCTGTCACCTAGGCTGCAGTATGCAGTGGCATGATCATGGCTCACTACAGCCCCCAACTCCTGGCCTCCAAGTGATCCTCCTGCCTAAGCCTCCCAAGTAGCTAGGATTACAGATGCTCACCACCATGACCAGTTAATTTCTTTAAAAATTTTTGTATGGGCCGGGCGCTGTGGCTCACGCCTGTAATCCTAGCTCTTGGGAGGCCAAGGCGGGCGGATTGCTCAAGGTCAGGAGTTCAAAACCAGCCTGAGCAACAAGCGAATCGTCTCTACTATAAACAGAAAGAAATTAATTGGCCAACTGATATATATATAAAAAAAAAAAATTAGCCGGGCATAGTGGCGCATGCCTGTAGTCCCAGCTACTCGGGAGCTGAGGCAGAAGGATCATTCAAGCCCAGGAGTTTGAGGTTGCTGTGAGCTACGCCACGGCACTCACTCTAGCCTGGACAACAAAGTGAGACTCTGTCTCAAAAAAAAAAAAAAAAAAAAAAATTGTATGCATTCAACATGTTCTAATAAATAAAAATAATAATTTTTTTTTTTTGAGACAGAGTCTCGCTTTGTTGTCCAGGCTAGAGTGAGTGCCATGGCGTCAGCCTAGCTCACAGCAACCTCAAACTCCTGGGCTCAAGCGATCCTCCTGCCTCAGCCTCCTGAGTAGCTGGACTACAGGCATGCACCACCATGCCGGCTAATTTTTATATATATATCAGTTGGCCAATTAATTTCTTTCTATTTATAGTAGAGACGGGGTCTCGCTCTTGCTCAGGCTGGTTTTGAACTCCTGACCTTGAGCAATCCGCCCGCCTCGGCCTCCCAAGAGCTAGGATTACAGGCGTGAGCCACAGCGCCCGGCCCAATAATTTTTTACAATTGTGTAGAGACAGGGTCTCAATTGTTGCCCACACTGGTCTCAAACTCCTGGCCTCAAGCAATCCTCCTGCCTTGGCCTCCTAAAATGCTGGGATTACAGGTGTGAGCCACTACACCTGGCCTTTTTAAAAATCAGCAGCATGGTAACTAAAATATTTTTAAAAGCTTTTGTGAGTTAGCCTCTGCTTTCAAAGGACTTTCAGCTTCCAAAAGCTGAAACAGTGACCAACATAAGCTCTGAGTATTAAAGGCTACGAGACTGTTACAGACTAGCTCTAGAGACTTGTTAAATATAACAGAAATATCTGAAGACACAGAAATTTGAAAAAAAAGAAAAGAAACCTGACATATAAATCTAGGTTTACTCAAGAACTGAGGGCAAATTTGACTTAACCAAAATTAAAAACATGTATGCTGGGCCGGGCGCCGTGGCTCACGCCTGTAATACTAGCTCTCTGGGAGGCCGAGGCGGGCGGATTGCTCGAGGTCGGGAGTTCAAAACCAGCCTGAGCGAGACCCCGTCTCTACCATAAAGATCTCCACCTGGTTGAAGGTCTTGCCATTGTAGACGCCTACCATCCTGCCCACCATCTCGGGCAGGATGATCATGTCCCGCAGGTGTGTCTTCACCACCTCGGGCTTCTCCAG